TGCTTTCCTATTGGTCTTCCTACCAATATGACCAAGTTGCGAAAACAAGGTCAAACAATTTCTATATTATTATTATTATTATTATTAGCACTACTACTACTAGTAGTAATAGTGGTGGTAGTAGCGTTATCAAAAGGACTCAGCTTTCAGCTTCAGCTAATGTCACTTTTTCTCACACATTTGCAAGAAACTAAAACGGTTCGTCGTTAACCAGTTGATTTTGGGCGATTGGTCAATTCTAGCCAAATAAAGTCACAAGAATGATTTACCTCAGCTTCTCATACCAATTTGCTTCTGATGTTGAATGGAAAGCTGTATTCCCACTCGGATTTGTAAGCGGAAAAGATCACTTAAGACGGCTATGCCCTAATAGTTGACTTTTCACACAATCATACAAGTTGGCTTCGCATGCCATTAAATTTAGTGACAATTTTGAAATCAATCCTTATCTTCACTTCCTTCCTGGGCAGGCTCGCAAACATTCCTAACCTCGACTATAATAACCAGGCCTACTTATTTGATTGTGAGAAAACTTTACTTTCAGTCTTAAATCATCTTACGTGATCTAGACCGACTAATTTCTCATTCAATAATTACTTAAAGTATCAAACTCCACTCATTAAAATAAATTAGTTAAACCTAAATTTATGTTCGAAAAAGTATTATTGTCGAAAACATTTTTACTAGAATTATTCTTTTTATCACAAGTATAGTGAGAACTATTCTTTTGACTCTAAGATAACTTAACTTTCAGTCCATAATCATCGTGATTGACCTAGATTGACTAAATTCCCATCGCTGAAAGTATCGAAATTAAGTCATATTGAAATAACTAAAAGTATCAAGCGGAAGTATGAAGAACAAGATGGTGTGGCCCTTAGTATGTTGACAATTTCCTTTTGTTGTATGGATGTTGTTTGGCTTTGTTTTCCCAACTTGATCGTATTGCCAAGATGACATATAGTAGCACACCTTTTCCGGAGTCCATAGTATGCATGATAATTAGCAGAGTCGTATCGTGGACTTGTGACATGCCCAAACGTTTCGCTGATATCGTCAGTAAGTCTTGTCATTCTTAGCACCACCAAGAAGACAACAACGGCAAAGCTCACTGACGATACCGACGAAGCGTCTGGCAATATACCAACTCCAACATACCAATATGATCATGTTGGGAAGACAAGGTCGAACAAATTCTAAAGTATCAAATCTGAATTATTAA